CATATTTTCATTTCTCATAACCTGAACAAAGTCTGACCAGAAAAAAAACCCCACCAAAAGTGACATTAAAAGAGTGGTTTGAGACTCTGGGATAAAAGTAGAGCATGGCAGGTTGTGGGGTTGCTTTGGGGATGTCTGAAGAGAGATGGTGGGACAGACATTCCCCTGTGCACGCCCACGAGGAGCCTCGTTTTCCCAAGGGAAAATCTTGGAAAAGACCTCCGAGATTACCCAGCCCGGCACCCACCCGGGACTGGGGCCTCGTCCAGGCTGAGGTGGCGTCTGGAGAGTCTCCACCTTCCCTGGAAGGAGCAGTTTGGGCCCGTTCACATCATCCCCTCCCCTGTGCCACAGCTGGAGGAGCTGCACAGCAGCCGGGGCAAGTTCTGTGACGACCTGAGGAACAACCAGAGCGAGATCGCGGAGCTGAACAGGATGATCCAGAAGCTGCAGTGCGAGTCAGACAACGTGAAGAAACAGGTAGGACCAAGGGCTGGATCCCACGGGGCTGGGAAACTCCTCCATCAAAGGGCTTTGTCCTCAGCAGCTCCCACCCTGCAGAGCGGCCAAGAACCCCCAGCCCACACTGGATCTGTTGGTGGCTTCAAATGCACTCAAAATACACCCAAAAGAGCTTCAAATACACACAAAATACACACAAAAGAGCTTCAAATACACTCAAAATACACACAAAAGAGCTTCAAATACACACAAAATACACACAAAAGAGCTTCAAATACACACAAAATACACACAAAAGAGCTTCAAATACACACAAAATACACCCAAAAGAGCTTCAAATACACTCAAAATACACACAAAAGAGCTTCAAATACACAGAGAAAAGCAGATTTATTTCTCACGTGGTGAATAAGAGGCTGGTTGGTTTGGCTGTAACAGCATCAGTGTTTCCTGAGTTCCCCACAGGGTGCAGCCAACAGGTCCCTTCCCTTTCATCCCAAACTGCTCGGTCACCACCAATCCAGCTGAAATTTGGGCTCCCTGATGCTTCCTCGCTGAGAAATGAGGGGTCACAGGAGCAACCTTGTGGAGATCCCTCTTGATATCCCCCCTGACCACCACGAATTCAGCTGAATCTCCCTGGCACTTCCTCCCTGAGAAATGAGGGGTTAGAGGAGCAGACCTGTGGAGATCCCTGTTTATATCCCCCTGACCATCACCAATCCAGCTGAAATTTGGGCTTTCTGACACTTCCTCACTGAGAAATCAGAGGGTACAGGAGCAACCCTGTGGAGATGCCTCAATATTCCCCCTGGCCACCACGAATTCAACTGAATCTCCCTGGCACTTCCTTGCTGAGAAATGAGGGGTACAGGAGGAACTCTGTTTATACAGGAGATCCCTGTTTATATCCCCCTGGCCACCACCAATCCAGCTGAAATTTGGGCTCCCTGGCACTTCCTCACTGAGAAATGAGGGGTTAGAGGAGCAGACCTGTGGAGATCCCTGTTTATATCCCCCCTGGCCACCACAAATCCAGCTGAAATCTTGGCTTCCTGGCACTTCCTCATTGAGAAATGAGGAGCAACCCTGTAGAGATCCCTCACCCCCATCACCCTCTTTGCCAAGAGAAGTCACGGCTGGAGGTGCCCAAGGCCGGGTTGGACAGGGCTTGGAGCGACCCATGGCAGGTTGGGGTGGGACTGGCTGGGCTCAGAGGTGCCTTCCACCCTGAATCACACCACGGTTGTCCCCCTGTCCCCATCCCCAGATCTCGGCCCTGCAAACAGCCATCTGCGATGCGGAGCAGCGCGGCGACTGCGCCCTCAAGGACGCGCGGCAGAAGCTGGTGGACCTGCAGACGGCCCTGCAGCAGGCCAAGGACAAGATGGCCTGTCTGCTCAGGGACTACCAGGAGCTGCTCAACGTCAAGCTGGCCCTGGACATCGAGATCGCCACGTACAGGACGCTGCTGGAGGGAGAGGAGAGCAGGTGGGAGCATCCCGGGGGTGCCTCGGGAGGAGGGTCGGGAAAACCCCGCAGGAGGAGAGGGAAGGGATGTGCCCCAGAGGCAGAGGGGGAACAGGGTCCCTTTTCTCACCCTGTGGGTGCAGAAGAGAGCAGGGTCCATTTTCCATGGGTGCAGAGGGGGAACAGGGTCCCTTTTCTCTCCCAAGGGTGCAGAGTGGGTGCACTGTCCCTTTTCTCTCCCCGTGGGTGCAGAGGGAGAACAAGATCCCCTTTCTCTTCCATGGGTGCAGAGGGGAAACAGGGTTTGTTTTCCATGGGTGCAGAGGGGAGCAGGGTCCCTTTTCTCACCCCAAGGGTGCAGAGTGGGTGTGTTATCCCTTTTCTCTCCCCCTGGGTGCAGAGGGGAGCAGGGACCCTTTCCTCTCTGAACGGGTGGAACATCACCCCTTTACTCTCTTAATGGGTGCAGAGGGGGAACACCATCTCTTTTCTCTCCCCGTGGGTGCAGAAGGGAGCAGGGCAGGGTCCCTTTCCTCTCCGAATGGGTGGAACATCACCCGTTTTCTCTCCTCGTGAGCGCAGAGGGGGAACAGGGTTTCTCTTCTCTCCCCGTGGGTGCAGAGGGGGACCATCGCCCCCCTTTCCTCCTCCTCCTCCTCCCAGCGCACTCAGATCCCCCGCCTCCCAAATACCTTAACATCCCCTCCAAAGGGAGCATGGGATATCAGGATATCCACGAAATTTTGGGATCCCACCCCGCGGTGCTTCGGTGGGCAGTTTGACCCAGCTCCCGAAGGTGCTGAAGGACGCGCCACCTTTTTAAGGAGGCGGCAGCCGGGCAGCACCTCAATTTGCTTTGAATGTGCCTCTATTCGAGGAATATTTCCCTAAACGCATCCCTGAGCCACCTCTTTTCCCCACAGGATATGCACAGGCAACCCCGTGAGCGTAGGTGAGTGGATGAACCCCCCGCTTCGTTTCCTTGAATTTAACTCCTAAATTATTTAACTCCTAAACTTTAAACCCTTCCCTAAACCCCCCTAAGCCGCGTTCCGGCCGCCCGGGCAGTGACCGAGCGTGTTTTCTCTCCCGCAGCCGTGGTGAGCGGCGGTGGCACGGTCGGGGAGTGCCGCTCGCTGTCGGGACTCGCCGGGAAATGCTCCGTCAAGGCCGGCGGGGCGGGCGCGGGGCTGGGGCTGGGGCTGGGGCTGGGCCCGTCCTTCGCGGTGGGCACGGCGGGGTTCAGCGCCCGCAGCGTGGACTGCCTGCCCAAGGCGGGCGGCGGCTTCGGGGCCCGCAGCGCCGCGGGCTGCGTGGGCAGGGAGGTGATGCCCGGCGTGGAGAGCGTCCAGTGCGCGCCCGCCGTGGGCAACCTGGGCAACCTGGGCAACCTGGGCAACCTGGGCGGCGTGGTGTGCGCCGGGGTGGAGCAGTGCGGGCCCGGCGCCGTCCTGCTGCCCGGCGCGGGGGTGTGCGGGGCGGGCAGCAGGTTCGGCACGGCCGTGCGCGTCGTCAGAACGACCCGGTAGAGAGACACCCCCCCTACCACCACCACCCCCGGCGCGTCGCCGTTGGAAAAAGTAACCAGCATTTCTGCAGGAAAAAAAGAAAAAACAGTGTTCCCCCTCTCCCTGTCCCCCTTTCCCCGACAGCTCCGGGCATCACGCACCGTGCGCTCTGCGGGGCGCTCTGCCACAAACTCTCTGCAGGACCAAAAACCCGCCCTCCCTCTCGTGTCCTTAGTGCGGGAAAGTCCCCCCCAGACCCCCCTTCCCCCGCGCCCTCAGCCGGGTGAGGTTTTCATTTCAGAGCCCATCCCTGTGTCCACGCATCACCTCGGCTCCCGAGCGGCCCTGCCCTCCCTGACCCCTTCCCAGCGGGGACTTTCTTTCCCCGACGCAGCTCTTGCAAAAGGATGAGAAATTTGCTCATCCCGACTTCAGAGAGAGAAGCCACAGTTTAATTGTCCGAGACGAAGCTGCAGCTGTAATTTAACTCCTTTAATGACAGCAGAAAAGCCAATTTTTCCTGTTTACCGGAGGGTTGGTAACACTTATGTAAATTGGTCCGAGTTGCTACACCGGGTTTGGCGGAGCAGAGTTTAATTACAGCCCGACGAGCACCTTATATTTCTGTAGGTTAATGCATGAGTTGTTTTTCCTGTGTGTACCAGACAGATTTAAAGCTTTTCATGTGTAAGTGAACAGAGTTGATTACCCTTCGCTTACTCCAGCCTTTCAGCTGTGCCTTCAATAAACTACATGCATAATTCATGCTGGGCTTGATTTCCCTCCTCGGGATTACAAATTTCCTCAGACCCGAGTCTCCAAAGGGGTGGGGTTTGGAGCTTCAAGAAGCGGAGTTTTAATCAAGTTTTTGTCTGGTCTCCTTCCCGAGGCACCTTTGCATACCTTTGTCCCATCCAGTGATTAGTGTGGCCACGAGGAAGTCTGGAAAGGAGGGGTGAAGGAGGATATTTAACACTCGGAAAGGAGGGGTGAGGGAGGATATTTAACACTCGGAAAGGAGGGGGGAAGGAGGATATTTAACACTCGTGGGATGTGTGGAACTCCCGGGATCTCTCCCGGTGTCTGGGAGCTCTGGAGGCACAAAAAGGCAGCCAGGCCTTGTTCAAAGGAATCACTGAGAAGCAGCTCAGGTGGTCAGAGAGGAATAATCCCCCAGCCCACCCCTGGAACCCTCTCATGGAGTGGGTTGGTTGGAGAAATCGAAAGTGCAGCTTCCCAAAAATGCAGCCCCGGGGGCCCCCCCCCAGCCCCCCCCCCCCCGCCCCAAAACATGGGAACCCTCCCAGAGAGCAGAGTCTGGAGCTGTGGCTGGATGGGCCCCTCCAACACCCCTTCCAGGGAGGGGAAAACCCTCTCCCACCATTCTGGGAGGCTGGGATTTAGAATGATGGGATATTCTGAGTTGGAAGGGACCCCCAAGGACCATCAAGTCCAACTCTTAAGTGAGTGGTCCGTACAGGGATCAAACCCACAACCTGTTCTCCACGAGGTTCGTGGAATTGTGGAATATCCTGAGTGGGAAGGGACCCACAATGGTCATCCAGTCCAAGTCCTGGCCCTGCACGGGACAACCCCAAAAATTTCACCTTGTCCCTGAGAGCACTGTCCAAACACTCCCTGACCTCTAAAATCATGGGATCACGGAATAACCAGGGTTGGAAGGGACCCACAAGGAGCACAAGATCATGGAATATCCTGAATGGGAAGGGACCCATCGAGTCCAACTCCTGGCCCTGCACAGGAGACCCCAAAAATCCCCCCACATGTCCCAGCACTGTCCCAGCACTGCTGAAGCTCTGGCAGAGTCCCCAGTTCCCAGAGGGCCACTGACCCTCTGACGGGTCTCTGGGACAAGGCTGGGAAGGGCTGGCCAGGGTGACACTCAGGGGACACTCAGGGGGACACTCACAGCTGGATGCACATCTGGATGCAGATCTGGGTACACAGCTGGATAAACATCTGGATGCACATCTGCATGCACAGCTGGATGAACATCTGGATGCAGATCTGGGTACACAGCTGGATGAACATCTGGATGCACATCTGCATGCACAGCTGGATGAACATCTGGATGCAGATCTGGGTACACAGCTGGATGAACATCTGGATGCACATCTGCATGCACAGCTGGTGCACATCTGGAAACACACCTCGTGCACAGCTGGATGCACATCTGGATGAACATCTGGTGCACAGCTGGACGCACATCTGGTGCAGAGCTGGATGCACATCAGATGAACATCTGGTTGAACATCTGGATGAACATCTGGTGCACAGCTGGATGCACATCTGGTGCACAGCTGGATGAACATCTGGGCTCACAGCTGCATGCCAGGAAAACCAACCGACCCCGCGGCTTCTCCCTTCCCAAGGCTCCCCTGGGAGCCAGTCCTGCCAACCTGCCAACCCTGCTCTGAGCTGCCCTTTGGACTAATCCCCGTCTCCTCGCCCAGTCTGGGAGGGGTGGGAGCAGCGCAGGGCGGGGGCGGCTTCGTTTGCCCCGTGAAAGGTTCGCCCAGAGCCGGGCGCTAATTCACGGTGATTTATTCCCCTAGACTTCCCTGTTGACTCAAGGTTTCTTCCCAGGGCTGGAGGACGAGCTCAGCCCTCCTGCCAGGCCCGGCCTCTGCTCTCGGGTGTTCTGGGGATGAACCCACCCCTGGTTCCGTCCCCTCACGGAGCGCGGCGGGTTCGGGCTCCCCACGCTGGGGCTTCTCCGGGGGTTTATTGGGGCAGATCAACAGGGGGCAGGGCACTAATGAGACTTTAATAAATGCAACAACGCCTGGGCGGGGGGTGCTGAAAGCCAAGTGGACCAGCCCTTGGTGAGGAGGCAAAACTCACCCACCTGCAGGTGGTTTGGAACTGGTTCTCTCCAGCTCTCGGACTTCACCTCATTTCCATGTAAATAAGAAGCAGAAACACCCAAACAAGAAGCTTCCAGTGCCCCGACAGCTCATAATTTATGTTGATCGTGTCCCTGCCAAGCAATACCTGCACACCAAACCCCAGCCAGGTCCCCAGGGGACCAAAGCAGCCCAGCAGCTCTTGCGTTTCTGGGAGAAAACCTTTAATCATCCCTGCCCTCGACTCCCAGGTGTTGCAAAACCCACGATTGCTGCTGCCTGCTCACAGGTGTTCATGTAGATCAGGGTGCTTGGGAGAGAGAAAAAGGCCAGCAGTGTGGTTTTGGGGCAGACCAGAGGCCAAATCCTGCACGGTGCAGCTCCAGATGTGCCCCTTTGTGGATCGACAGAGTCCAGAACTGTGGGATCAGGGAATGGTTGGGTTGGAAGGGACCTGAAAGCCCATCCAGTTCTATGGGCAGGGACACCTCCCACTATCCCAGGTGGCTCCAACCTGGCCTTGGACACTTTCAGGGATGGGGCAGCCACAGCTTCTCTGGGAAATCCATTCCAGGGCCTCTCCACTCTCCCAGAAAGGAATTTATTCTGTATATTTAACTTCAATTCCCCCTCTTTCCTTTTGAACCCATTATCCTTGTCCTGGCACTGCAGTTGTGGATGCAGAGTCCCCCTCCAGCTTCCTCGTGGCCCCTTCAGATCCTGGAAGGTGCTGGGAGGTCTCCACACCCCAACCTCTCCTTCTCCAGACTGGACAGCCCCACCTTTCCCAACCTCTCCTGGTCATGGAGCTGAGGGTATTTTGGAGAGAAGGAAGTCCAGGATTGTGGGTTTGGGACATATTGGAGGCCAAATCCTGCAGGGGGTCACTCTGGATGTGCCCCTTTATAGACTGACAGAGTCTGGAATCACGGAATCATGGAATTGTTGGGTTGGGGTGACCTTAAAGCCCATCCAGTTCCACGGGCAGGGACACCTTCCTCTATCCCAGGTTGCTCCAACCTGCCCTTGGACACTCTCAGGGATCCAGGGGCATCCTCTGGGAAATCCATTCCAGGGCCTCCCCCGCTCCCGGGGAGGGATTTATTCCGTGTGTTTAACTTCCATTCCCCCTCTTCCTCTCTGAGCCCGGGCTCTGGCAGCTCTGATACGGGTGGACAGATGGAATCCCCACATCCTCCTCTGGCTCTGGAGCCCCCAGGCCTCGTTTGCTCCTTGCCACAGCCCAGCCCAGGAGGGACAGGGGGTGGTTTTTGTGTGGCTCTCACCCCTCCTGCACGGCGGGGCCGGAGGGAGGGGAGGGTGGGAGCCTGGAGAGACAATTCCCCCCTTTCTGAGCAGCCCCACCTTTAATCCCATTCCGTTCACTCGGCTCTCCCGCCTGCTCCGAACCCGTTTGGCAGCTTCAGGCCCATCTGCCTTCGCTGGGCTCGGGGAACCGTGAACACAAACCTTGTTTTCCCATCACGCCCGGGCCTGGATTTGCTGCAAACCCTGCAGGCTGTGGGTGCTCAGCAATTCCAGATGATATTCCAGGCCTGGATTTGCTGCAAACCCTGCAGGCTGTGGGTGCTCAGTAATTCCAGGTGACATCCCAGGTTTGGATTTGCTGCAAATCCTGCAGGCTGTGGGTAATCAGGAATTCCAGGTGACATCCCAGAACATCCCAGGCCTGGATTTGCTGCAAACCCTGCAGGCAGTGGGTGCTCCAGAATTCCCAGTGACATCCCAGGCCTGGATTTGCTG